GGGCGGCGGAGCACGCCGGGCGTCGTTCCGGGAACGCCGAGACAGAGGCGTCTTTGAGCGGCGCCCTTCCCACGGGCGAGCTCTAAATAGCGCCGGAACCCGATCCGGCCGTCGCTCCATCCGCCGCAGACGACGCAGACGCCGTCGACGCAAGAACGTCTCCGCCGGCGCTGGCGCGCTCCGTCCCGCCGCAGCCGCCAGCTGCACTCGCGCCCCCGAGCGAGCGGGAGGTCGGTAAACAAGACGATGCGGAAGCTCAGGTGTCTCCGAGCGACATCGTAGCTTTATGGCATTTTACTATTACTCCAGAGAAGTCAAGTGATTGAGAAACGAAAGGTTAAATAATAATAATAATAATAATAATAATAATAATAATAATAAAATCCATCTTAAGGGGAGGATTGTTGAGACAGTCATTAGAAACTTTTTGTATAGCGTGGAGCCACTTAGTGTACACACTTTAGATGCTTCACACTGTGCGAAATGTAAATGAATTTAAAGAGGCGCAACTAAGTCTTGAGCGTAGTATGCAATTCGCATACTGAATGAATTGAAGGCGTTAAATGTGTTACTAAATAGTTGTATCTGCTCCTAAAAATGTGTTATATAAAATCGACCCTTTTTTATCTAGTATCCTAGAATTAAGATAATCATTCAAGGCAAAGCAAGATGAGAAATAGGAGGTGAATGTGTAGAAAGAGGAGAAAAACGAATAGTAGAAGAAGCGTAGGGTAATAAAAATAATACACATTTAAGATGCTCTTAAATACTTTTCTACAGTTCGTAGTGTCAGTGATGATGTACATACGAACAACTTTACGTTCAGTTTTATTTCGTTTTCGGTCTTTCTCTTAGGAGTTAGCACCGCTCTAATGTTTGGAGCGCATTCTGACACGGTTTGTGGGGTATTTAAAAGCAGCACGAGCGTGCTAAACTTTGTGAGAGAAAGAACGCGAGTGAAATGAACGTGAATATAAAGATACAGAGTACTTAATAAATGAAATGTAGGAAAGCCAAAGCTTGAACAATCTCACTTCGAATTCATAATCATTGTAAAGGAGAACATCTATGGGTGGAGTTTCTTTCTATTCCCTCGTTATTATCATTAAAAGAGGACGGTTTGAGCAGTATGATAGAGACATTCATAGATATTATAAAAGCTACTCGTTAGACATTTACTTTACATACATTATAATAGCCAGTTATTCAATAAAGCAATTATTGTTTTTACAAGATACTGTTTCTTCGTATTAGCTTATGACAGTTCGTCATAACAATATCCTCCTGTATTTTTCCATTATTGAGGTTAGAATCCATTTGCAGATAAACA